TTAATCAATAGGAAGAAAGCAGTATGCATATATACTGTACCTTGCAACAACACAGCATTTATTTTTTTGATTTTGGATCAGAAGAAAAAGAAATATACAACACCGTAGAGTTCGGATCCGCGAATATTCACGGATAAAATGAATATTCAATTAGCAGTGAATGAATTATATTATGAATATCTGTATGAATATTCTCTGTAAATATCCGTGTAAAATATCTGTGAATATTCTGCATGATATTTCTGTGCGAATATCCGTATGTGAATATTCTGTGCTAATAGTTGATAAATATGAGAACCGTAATCACGTAAGATTATCTGAATATCCACGAATTCTCTATGAATTCTTTATGAATATACGTGAATTCTCTGAATATCCGCCAAATTTTCTATGAATTCCCTGAATATCCGTGAATTCTCTATGAATATCCATATATATTCAGTCATTATTATTCGCGAATGACTAAAATCCGTGAATATTCATTAAATAGCTGTGATGGATATTCAAAGGATCCCAACTCTACAACACTGTGTTGGTTTTTTGGATCTTGAATAGAATGAAAAATATTAACTAATGCATTTTGCAATTATGCTTTGTTGATTTTTTTAAATCTTGGATTAGAAGAAAGAAAAACATTAGTTGATACACTTGTAACACATCATATAGATATCTTTATATCTTGAATAGAAGAAAAAACATTATATCAGACCCCCTAAATGCACGATAATTGATTGCCCCATGTTGGGCCTTATAAATACACATTCTTCATTATTAATAATTATCATATTTGTTTTTAAAATATTAATTTTTATACTAATATTTGATTCGAGCATCTTTTAATATTTTAAATATATTATTAGCTTGGTTTAATACAAATTAATATTGTTATACAGTTTACTACTTCAAGTTACATGTTTGCTATCGTAAAATGCGAAATAACGCCCATCTGCGTGTTATTTTGAGTATATGCGCGTTAATTAGAGTACGCGCATGGGCGTTATAAAATTTTAAGTATCTACTTATATAAATATAAACAAACAAAAAATGCTCCGAAAATCTACTTTTGTTTATAATAAAAGTTGTTCTTCAGGCTAAGGCCGTTCTCAAGCGCCTTCCTCAATGTAATTAGCTAGTGATCGAGGTGACGCTCAATTGAAATAAAGATTGCGATTGGTGCTTGAGCTATCTCTTTCTCTGATTTCCATTATGGCCACAAGAAAAAAAAGACGATTACCCAGTTACCTAAAAATTTAGCATCCAAGACTTGGCGTTTGAAACTTGTCTCCAGCCGTCCTCTTAACAATTTCGCAAATAACTTTTCATTGCAACAGCAGCCATATTTGGCTACAAGTCATTACGGCAACAACTTTATATTGATTCGTTAACGTTAAACGAAACGATATCGAAATATAGTGAAGCATGAATGTTATTTAATAAAATATATATACGATGTATAAAAAATAACTTTTTATTCTTGGAACATTAACTCTGAACATCTTTTATTTGTTGAGTTTTTAGTATGGAGTAGGATAATAATTTTTTTGATAGCGATGACGGTCTTGTTGAGAATACATGTTATGAAAAAAATAATAACAATAAAACAAAAATGTATTTGAGCTTGAGCAATCTCTGATTATTCTTTCAATGATAAACTTTAACCAATCAGCGCAGCTCTATGAAAAAAAAATTGGTGGTCGCAGCTCCAGGTTTTTTTGACCTAAATGATGACCACGATTAATTTTTTCGACCAATCAAATCGTTCGGCTAACTCATTGAGGTAGGCGCTTGATAACGGCTAGGACGATTCTAACGGTGGTTAAATCATCAAAAACGGCCCAGTAGATCTCTCGTTCAAATTTTTATAACAATTGTTTATATAAATATGCACACTAGTTGCATATCGTTATGAAAATTTGAAAGGCCATTGCGGGTGATCTACTGGGTCGTTTTTGATTATTTAACCACCATTAGAATCGTTTCGGCTCGAAGAACAATTTTTGTTAGAAGCTGAAAGTAGATTTACTTAGTTTTAAACTCACTTTCTGAGCACTTTTTTATACCTTATGAAAAATAATATTATTTATTATAATATGCGCGTTATTTAGGAACGCGCATGGGGTTATTTTGAGGCTATATATGTAATTTTGGGGATCCAATTTTCTAAATAACGCCCATGCCCGTTATTACGGTACTACATATATGTTTTGTTATTAAAATCTACTATTTAACTTTTTATTAATATAAGTGATCCACGATTTGGTTTTTTAATATCTTTTAATAATTTTTTTGCTTTTAAAGTTAGTGTCGCGATTTGGATGTCTCAATTTGAAAATACAAGCTCTACATACCAAAATTCACCATTAACAATAATGATGCCTGACAAAACCATCTAGTTTCGTCAATTCGTCAATGACGAAACATGAGTTTCGTCATTCGCAACAGCAAAATAGTTTCGTAGGCATCTACAATTAACAACTCTAAATTCTAACAAAGCTAAAAAATGTACAAAAAATTTGAAAATCTCAAAATCATCCGCGACAGTTAATAACCATAGATAAAAGTGTATATTTTATTTAAAGGGATTATACATTTAGGCGTGAAAGACTTACAAATGAATTTAATGATTCATAATAATATAATACAAAATAATACTAAAATTTATTTGTAATAAGCAAATAGATAGAGCTTTTTTGCATTGTTCTCTAATATTCCAGAACTAAGTGAAGCTTTTTGCATTGCTCTTTAATATCCAAAAATAGGGAAAGTAAATGTGATTTATATTCATACATTTCTTCATAATCCCGGTTCAAACAGCTTTGTCCATGGAAAGACCAATCTTTTAATTTGTCATGAAGATCTCTTAGCTGTTTAAGAGTGCCTGTTAGACGGGAAATTGTTGATTGAAGATCTCGATGAACATATATGCCACTTACAAGTGTTAAGCTGCTCGCGGCTGCTGCTGCTACGCCGGCTGTTGAGTATCTCTATTTACAGATGGAAGAATGTATTAAAACTTAAAAGAACAACGAAGGAGAGAAAAATGGTTATAAATGAATAATACCTCAAACAATGATTTACTCGATGAATTATTCTTTTCGTTTTTAGAACTACTAGAGCTTCTCGAATAAGCATATAACATGCCAGCACCAACGGCAAGTGCACTAGAAATTTAAAGTATCATATATAGATTATTTAAAAAAACATGGCCTTGGGAATATGCAGTTAATTGATTCCTGATCGACGGCTTTTTTTTTTTTTTTTTTTTTGAGACTTACCAGGCACCAACAGCTAATTTGGTAAATAAACTTTTGCTTTGACCTTCCAAATTTTTAAGTTGTTCGTCACATTTAATAGAAATATATTTTACAAGTTCCAATAAACTAATCGTAACCTCGCAAAATAATGATAAAAGTCCTATGTGATGTAATTGTTGGAGTGTTAGTAGACGTGTATTAAACAAGTGAAACTTGATTAACATTTTATATAGCATATATATATATATATTTTTAGTATACATCTCTTTACTAGCACATGATAATACCTTTTAATTTGTTATATTGCTCTCGTAAAATATTATCATCACCATCATCTAATCTAAGAATCTTTAAAATATCCGAAACACAACTTTCCATATTTAAAGTCATATTTCGAAATTTCGGTTTTTCTTCTTCAAAAATATCTTTAACACTCTGATCAGCTGATTTAAGCTCTTGATAAGATTCATAAATTGAGTTGATAGTAACTTTAAGATTCCATAAAAAAATGGCTAATCCAAGCCTGTAGTCTTTAGGCTGTATTTTTTTTTTTTTAGAAAAGAAAAAAATGATATTGATCATATTAGGAAAACAAACCAATAACAATTGAAACCAATATTGACAAATACTGTTAAACCTCCCAAAACCGATTTTGTAAAAATTGATAACCTGTTAAATCTGATAAAAAATCAATTTTATAAGTCCGTTTATACTATAAATCTAATAGTTTATAATGTTTTTAAACCTGATAACCCCTCAATCTTGATATATATATATATATCGATTTCGGAAGATTTAACAGTAAGCTAATTTTTTTTAAATTATAAAATATTTACATAGGCACTAAGTTGACTATCGAAAAGTTTAACTTCTAAAGTTTTAATCATAGAGCGAACCAAAGTATCTCTGATTTGATCAGGGCACAATATATCATCAACCTCGTAATCATTTTTTATTCCTAAAAGACAATGTACCGAATTCAATTGACTAAAAAATTCAGATCTTATATCATCGATGCACACGCTCATATCTCGTCTTCGAAATGTTTCATAAAACAATTGATCAAAAATGTTATCAGGATAATTTTGACGTTTTAATTTCAGATCATCAGATAAGGATTTTATATCCGCTCTTAATTTTTCTTCATCGATTATTTGATAATTTGATTCGATTATTTGATAATTTGAAACATCTAAAGTGCCATCGTCTTGTGGAGTTGTAGGCAAAGGCGAATGATGGTCATTGATGGATGGAAATATTTCCTTTAGTGTCATAGAGTCCGTCGCGAACCAATCTAAAAGACCATTTTCTGAAAATTGCTTGAGCTTTGAGGAGGCATTCTGTAAATATTGAATCAAGTCAAAATGTGTTTTGTCGGTGAAGTGAAATTTGACCTAAGTATCGTATTGAATTTGACAATAAGAATTAGTGCAAATTATATTATATTTTATATACTAAATAGATGTCGGGGATTGAGATTGGATTATGCTGAAATTTGAACTTATTTACTTATGAAAAATTAAAAAAAAATTTGGGCAGATTTTTTTTTAACCTCTTGTTATTTTTTAGAGGAATTAAGGTTAGAGATTATAATAAAAGAGTATATGCAGATTTTATATTTCAAACCATGTCTCCAAACTTCAGCATCATTCGATTTTAGAATCATCTCCGACAATAAATAACACTTTACCTTTGTTAATTCTCCAGTGTAATTAAATGTTTCGATACGGAAGTATTTTTTACCTTGCGGAAAAATTGTATCGTATAAAAGATTTTCATCGAGTGGTCCCTATTAATTTTAATAA